TCCCGCAAATTATGTGTCAAGGTCGTACTGAATACCGAGATTAGTCGTATGTCTTTGTGCACATTTTACGCGTGTGTGGTATGTCATACATACACCTTCTTGTAATATAATTGACGCGAGTGGTATATATTTCAGTGCGTATGGTATCTAGTCGTAAAATGTAAATAACTGCCGGAGCGTGTCAGAACAGAAAAAAATAACCTGCGTCCGGCACATCACTGTGTAAGACAAGATCATATATCATTAAAAGAAATTGAATCGTATAAATAACACTTTTAGATAAAATTTGTGTTGGGGGACTATGCTATATGTTTTCTTCTTGTATATGCGATTTGTGTTTCGAACAGCTTTCAGAAGTTCAAACGATTCCCAGAGTTTGTTTACACATAGTTGCATAATGGGTGGACCATTAGGAACGCTGGGGGAAAATAGGAAAATATTTGTTCTTTATCTAGTTTTGTACTATTTTTTGTTTCCGTGATCAATGTGCTGCATTTGGTTTTCACAATATAAGGAATATATTTTCCCGAATTTCGGCGTCCAGATTTTTATTCTGTCATTGAATCCTGTAGGATTGTCTCAGACTTTTTTTCTGTGCAAATTATTTGTTTTCTAATTCTGCCATCGCCCCCTCAATAGTTTCAAATGGTCGACCCATAATGCACTTTCACAATTCAAATTATGCCAACAATTCATCTTATTTTTATATTAGTGAAAAACAATGCAAATGACAATACCACAGTATTTTACTGAGTACATGTTTAATCATGTGAAGTATCCTATTCTTAAACAATAGAGTGAATTGAGGTATTTTTTTTTAAATAAACACGTGGCGAATGTGTAGATTGCGAAACCTATGAACAAATACGGAATCACGTGCACATTAAAGTAATTGTGTCGGGACTTCTGCTCCGGTTTATAGATTGAAGAGTGGGTAACCTATCTATAGACTTTCAGTTTAAACACAGTTACTTGCAAACAATGACCAACCGTTGTGGGGTAAAACAAGGTTCTAAAGGGTGGCGATCGCCGCGTCCGCGTGCGATATTTGCGTTTATACACATTGATTTTCCCACAATCCAATCCGCGTTTCTAACTAAATCGAGTATACAAATTTTGACATAGGCGCCACTTGCATTAATTATCGTCAGCGACTCCTTCAATACTATCCAATCACCGAAAAATTACCCTGGTTTGCGCAACAGTCGTAGTTGCCATCATTGTTCCTACAAGACTCTTGTCTCGCGCATGCATGCGTGGCGCGACGACCATTTCAGGAAATACGTAAGTGTCTCTCTTTGGATGCTAAATATCTGTCAGTGTTTTTATGTGGAAATCTTTCACTGTGAAGATTATTGATTACCAATAGCTTACCATTAATTCACATACTTATTCTTCCGAGTGAACTAACACTAATCGCCTAAAAACGATATTCGGTTTATCATATTATGTGGTCGCCGACGCGTCCTGTTCGATATGGGACTCATAGCGACTTACACACCGCGTGTAATACACATTGTTTATTTACATTCAATTCGAACACGTTACGCGCAAAAAACGCCACCCTTTACCCTAGATACAACCAAAGTTCTCGGTCGACGAATAATAGATAATAATAATAATAATAATAATAATAATAATAATAATAATAATAATAATAATAATAATAATAATAATAATAATAATAATAATAATAAATGACTAAATAATATACAGTTCAGTCGGATAATGTATTTCGGTGCTATCGACTGAGTTAAACTTGTATGCGAAAAGTAATTGATAACCAATTGCGCCAACCAAATCATCTGACTTTTTGGATTTGCACTCACCAAAGCGAGCGAATTGTATCTGACACTATTTCAGATAATTGCCACAGGACGACAGGCAGGAAAAGCGATATTACACAGAGGCGGCGACACTCAATTTTGCACGGGGAGGCGCGAGATCTGCTCACCAGGCGCGACCTTACTAGGGGTCCGGGGGCATGCTCCCCCTTAACAATTTTGTAATCGTGAAATGGTCATACTAGTATGGATGAATTAAAAATGATCACAGCACTTCGCGCACACATATGCCCTACATTATGGATGAAACGGTCGATTTTTTGTTTATAATTTTGTTTATTTTCCACTGTATAAAGCATTATAAAACTCAAAAGAAAAACACAAAGCTGCAATAAAGTACATAGCTATTTGGCGACAGATAAAGAGAAATTAACTTTAATAAAATAATCAGATTTTTTTTTTTTAAATTATTGGTCACGACTTTTCGTAAGGCCTGGAGACATGTGCAAAAACAAAACAACATGGCTTCCTTATGGAAGTTATGTTCACTTTTGAATTCAGATAGCATTTTCACTCACATCGCGCTCATTAAATTGGGGCCGCCGTTGAATCATTGCGTTACTTGTAAAAATAACGTCCATACCATACATACAAACCTTCTGTCATAGTTTCACAATGCGTAATTTTGCTGACGTCGGTGAAATTCAAGTGTGCGTACACCTCACGTTGTGTAACTGCGGGGACATTCACATATATTATCATCTACATCTAGTGCACTCGACTTTCATTGAACCAGAGTAAAAGTATTAAAGCGCGGTAGTCGTCGAGCTGCGCATGTTCGCCATTTGTGTTGATAAACATTGAATTTCCCACAATCCAATGCGCTCTTCAAATGGAAATCACAAGTATGAGGTTTGACCTGAGCGCGACTTGCACTGATTACCGCCGGTGACACCTTCGATACCTTCCAATCACATGAAAATTACCTAATTAAAACTTGGAAACGTGTCAGTTCGTACTCGTTGATCTGCGCGAAACAGTCAAAGTCGCCATCTTTGTTTATAGGATACCCATATATCTCGCACATGCGCAGCGCGACGACTACCGCGCTTTAAGTATTACTTCTGTTGAGCATACTTACGATAAGTGTATGTCTATATGTATATTCCCCCCATTGATTTGATGCGGGGCCCATGGGGGCAACATAAATAATTGTTAGGCCACCCCACAGGTCGTAAACTGATCCAGCCACGGCACTTATTGCATATTATGGCAAGAAGGTGCCTAGTTTTATTTTATTTGCCGTGTTATACGTTGGCCACTGTAACGCACTGCAATGTGTGAGACACACGTCATTGCAATTTAAAGCGGAAGGGTCGTCACCTGTGCACGCGCGGGAATTGAGTCCCAAGCGACGATAACAACACACACTAAAACGCAAAGGCTCATGGTCAGATGCTTGTTTGTTAACAATGACACGCTATGGCTATCCGACGCATGCGCATATGACGACTCCCCCGCTTTAATTATTGTTCAGTAGGGGCTTCACAATACCTAACATCGCCGACCTGCATGCGTCCCTCCCGCTTTAAGCGTGAAAAAACGTGTCCAGCCCCAATACACAGAATTGCTGCAATCGAACTGGACAAACTAAACATGGAGAAACAGCAATCAATCGCATCGTTTATTGAATGTAGTAAATAACCATATGTTTTCACTGACACATATTTGCTGATTAAATTGTGATTACGTACGGTCAGAGATTAACATCATAGCTCAGGGGTCATTGGTGACAGTTACACGACATGACATACAAAATGGAGCGTTTCATATTGTAGGCTGTGTAGACAGAATTCTCTACTTTCGTTTGTTTCAAAAGAACAATTGAAGAAAACAAATTTTGGCAACAGCTGTATAAATTATTTCCATTTTTGTTAATAAAAATTTGTTATGGCCTGACTTGTTTCGCACACAGTTTGTAACATTTGTCCATTATATATATCAAAATGATTTTTTTTTTACTGGATTTAATTTTGAGACAACTTTGGAAATAAAGCCAGTTTAAAAGTCCAAAACTTACTTAGATTTCATGAACTTGATATATTTAAAGCGGGGGAGTCGTCACCTGTGCATGCGTCAGATGGCCATAGCGTGTGATTGTTTACAAACAAGCGTCTACCCATGAGCCCTTTGCGTTTTTCGCATGTGTTGTTATCGTCGCTTGGGACTCAATTCCCGCGCGTGCGCAAGTGACGATCCTCCCGCTGTAAGTTATAACAAATTAGTGTTATGAATTATGCATGAATGCATGCACAGACTGGATGCAGCCCAATTTCTCAGCAGGTACGGATTACATGTTAATGCACCGACTGGGCGATTACTCAGGCTGGGCGATGGTACAGAGGGTAGCGTGCTCACCTTGCACCAGGAACGTTTGGGGATTAATTCCCGGTAGTCGATTTCTAACTCAGCAGTTTCAAGTCTTCCAAACACGCGGTATTACGTTTCGAAGACTGGTTTGCACGCAAGCACTTGCCTCTGAGCTAGAAGCTAGGACAAAGACAGACTGATGTAAAAAAAAAAAGAAAAACTACGACCCGTGACCTCGCTGTAACCGTCACAGCCATGGCCGGGTGCAGAGGATTTGTGCTATACTGCGAACGCCGTCTCTCATCTTAAATAAGCCTTTGCGCAGTACCCAAGTCTTGCCGATAGACATGAACAACGCCCTTGAATCTAAGGCAGAGTGAGGAGCATAAGGTGCAATAGCTTGGAATAGCTCACATAGAAACGTTTTGAGGAAATCAAGCTCAAAAGATCAAATATTTTTATGATATCTAAAAAAATATTCACGAGTAGCAGTTTAAATTTCTCAGCAAGTCAAACGACACGGAGTCTTTGATGTAATCAACTTTAAATGTAGAGCATACACGTCTGGTATTTCCCAGCAGATCCAGATTACATGATGTTGACGTAGGGGCGTATGTTTAAAATCGATCACATGGGAACTTCACAGGAGAACCTTTTTGCATACTGTGAAATACTTAATTTTCGCTTGGAATTAATTTTCGCTGTTTTCAAATATACCTTTTTCTTATATTTTACATTCGACTCGTCAACAATCAGTGAAAATAAATTCCATACAAAACCCCCAAAAGTTTTTTTTTTCATCAAAAAGTAATTCCAGCTAAAATAAAGTATTTTATAGTAGTTGAGCTCGTAGTTGTACAAGCGACGGACAACGGACGACATACGTTTAAGGGTTGGGCAAACGTGTTATCGCCTAGTGTATATATTGCTGTTACATAACACATCCAGTGAATAACACATTCCAATATATAATTAAAAAAGGTATTTGGTGCGCGCGGTAATTTTATTGATGTCTTTAGGCTCGTTCGAATCAAACCCTTTCCAGTCAAGGAGTAGCGTGATACATATAGGGCGAAATTAGTGCAAAGTAACATAAATACTTATACACGAGGCTGGATAAAATGTAAGACGTTCCCGGACAAAATTGCCATGGAACGCTGGAAATATCACGAATTCTCAGGCGTTCAGAGATCAGTTAGCAGATGAACTGCGCACATGAACGCGCTACATAACTACTTGAAATAAATAAACACAAACATGCACACTTAAGATCTCGGACACGCTACAGGTTTGCCTACCATTTCTTGCTTATTCTCTTCTGTCAAGTTAGTCTGGTATTTCCATTCCGCTAGCGAACCTGTATAGAACGCCTTGATGACTTGCTCGTTGTAGTTGTGTAGAAATTCAACTGCTATAGCCTCATCAGAAATCAGATTGTCCGTCCCGCTAGCTTTCACAAAGAGACACGAAGTAAACAAGAAAACTAAGGTTGTAGCCATTTCAGCTGGTAAGTGAGAGCGCAGAAAATGCGTGGATACGCTGCGATGTGTCAACTGCGAGTGTCGATAGCACGACTGTGAATGGTGGACAGTCTAAGGCATACAACCGACACAATCAACAGATACAATTACTGGTTTAATGAATGAAAACATGTTGATAAATGCGACTACCGTCTTGGCGCGTAACCTTCATTGTTGGGGGGTCCCCGGTGAATTGAAAATCCGGACGTGTTTGTGATTCCACTGTACGGCTCAGCGAATATTGCGAAGAGTCATTCAACCGCGCTCACATCAACACGACTCGGGATGCCGCGAAATGACACATAAACGTTCTTCTTATTGCGATAACACATAATATTTCCGGTACAAGTTCCACTGTGTGTTCAGTGATGAACGCATACATATTATGCGTTTCAATTTAGTTTTTTCCTCCACGATAGACTCCTAGAAAAGGTTATATATTAACGTAACCATTATAAATAAATAGTATTTTTTAACGAAACTGGGACTACGCATTTTTACATGCGTATTGAATTATCAGTACGTACTTTTTAATCTGTGCTAAAATAGTCTCAGTGAACCTATTTAACCTACCTAATGTGGACATACAGTGACAAAATCAAGTGTTACGCTTCAAGTGATGTTGTGTGTGAGTATACGAGGAGGTGCACCTTTCGGGCGCAATTATCATAGTCAAACTTTATACTCGAGTTTTAGTTATTTTAGTTATTATATCATGCAATCTGTGTTGTGTTCACAGAAAATTCTCAATTTGTAGAAGAGAACCCATCCGATATAGTAACCGAGTTATATTTTGCAAACGTCTACACAGTTCGCCGTTATCGCATATAACATACTGTAAATGCAATTAATTGTTCACTGGGTTTTAATTTCGCAATTTTCGCTGAAAAGTAAAATTCGCTAAATTAAATCTACGACGTGAACATGTAAAATAACAATAAAATTCATTGTTTCCCTGACAAATTCGTTGAAATTACAGTGAATATGCTCAAAACATCAAAATAATGAATTTAAATGACAGTGAAAACAAATGGTTCTACAGTATGAGAACATATATAGAAATACTACACAAACAACACTAGTTATCGGAATAAACCCATATACAACCCTCCCTTCTGCTACAAAGTTACCGTTCAAAAACACCGAAAAAATAAAAATAATAATAAACATGTTGCCGAGCATTTCACTTGCTTCCACAATCTTTTAATTACACTCAAGGTTCGTGCATTCGTCGAACAAGTCACTTAATTGTATACCTCGTATTGCCCGGCCTCATAACGCTATGGGAAGTGCGACCCATATTTGGATAAAACGCATGCGCAAAACACTGAAACGGTGCGCAATTCAAACGTTTGAAATCTGTGTATTCTCGGGGAGGACATCAGGACATTTTGTGTAGTAGATTATCGTGTTGAATACAATTATTATTATTATTATTATTATTATTATTATTATTATTATTATTATTATTATTATTATTATTATTATTATTATTATTATTATTATTATTTCTTTTATGCATTATTCGCCAATCCCCAACAAAGCTCACCATAGATTGTACTACGTGACCCCCCCCCCCCATAAACCACAGCACCGTCACGCATTTGCTACCATACTGATGGCGAGATTAAACGCACCCCTATTCCACCGATGCTATAATCGTTGAGACTACTAAACAATGTAACAAGAGTACCTCTATTTATGCAGCATATTCGGTTGCTCGGGATTACTTCAGTTCGAAATTAAATTTTTGCTGTTTTCTATAATTTAGATATTTTCACCAGCTCTTCGACCGGCGTTCCACAGCAGCTCGCGCAGGGCCCGTAGAAATACATGGCACAGTGGTACGCGCCTTCGCAACGTTGAACGTCTTTTGACATAGCCCCGCCTCCGAGGATAAAGTTTTGTTCCGAGATTGGTACGTCACGAACAATTTTACAAGTAATACGACCTCCCATTGAGACTGGTCGGCAAAAGAAAATTAGAAAATTTCTAGAAATGAAAGAAATATGTACATTTTGTAAAGATGATGAAATTGAAGACGAGTTCAATTTCTTAATAGTATGCAGTAAGTATAATGCACCTCGTAATATATTTTTATTAAATATACAGGATCAAAAATCCGAATTTTTGAAAATGAATGAAAAAGAACAAAAATATCGAATAATTATGCCAATCTTTGCAGGAATAGAAGCTACACAATTCATACATATAAATATGAACTTGAGAGATGGAATAGAGCAACCGACTCCATCAGCTAAGTCTGTGGGTGGTTTTAATACAATGACTTAATAAGTAGCTCAGTAGTTTTATTCTTATACTTATCTTCATGTTTTTTTCTTCCATTCTTAGTTACATGGTTCGTGATTTTGGTGGAGTGTACTTGTATTTAAGTTTGTTTTGTTTTACAACAATAATACAGTGAAATACTTTATTTTAGCTGGAATAAATTTTCGCTGAAAAGACTATTTAGGTGTTTTGCGTGGAATTGAATTTCACTGATTTTTGACGTGTTGAATGTAAAATATAGAAAAAAGGGTATATTTGTATTTATTATGCTATTTGTGATTTTGAGTTGAGTGAACTCAGTATTATATCATTTTTTTTGCAACCATAGAATTGCTCTCTTTAGTAGATTATCGTGTTGAATAAAATTATTATTATTATTATTATTATTATTATTATTATTTCTTTTATGCATTATTCGCCAATCTTCAACAACGCGCACCATAGATTGTACTACGTACCCCCACCCCCTCATAAACCACAGCATCGTCACGCATTTGCTACCATACTGATGGCGAGATTAAACGCACCCCTATCCACCGATGCAGACCGGAAGTTTCGCCGAAAATATGTACTGCCAGTGATATAGACTGGCAAAGTCGGGACTTCTTTTTTGTTTTACAAAAAGAAATAATTAATTTTTGTTTTTGTCCTTTTAGCGTGATCGCGAAAACTAACCTGACCGATAAAGAAATCCCGACTGGACGCATCTGCGGGCATTTGACTGCTATTATTTATTCATGATGTGATTGATTATTCATGAGTGGGTGTGAAAGCAAACGCGACCTTTTAAAAATAGTTCGATTCGATCGCAGAGATGGATACTTTAACCTTTTTAAGTTCAACAGCGATACTTTCATCTATGTTTACTGGAAAACAATTTAATCGATTTAAATGTCCAATGTATATAAGTAGTTTTTCAAACTCGGCGGGACCTCCGAAGTGAAGGGCCACGTACATTAACAAAGATAAGAGATGACGTATACAGCTGCACTCTGATTCGTTGTCAATGCTCGTCAACATCTTCAAATTAGCATAATCACCGGAATAATTCCGCTCCGGTTTTCACTCCTGCAGATACGTCCAGTCGGGATTTCTTTCGTAGTCACGCTAGTTTTCGCGATCACGTTAAAAAGGCTACAGAAATCTTGCAAGTCTACTAGTGATAATAAGTAATGCGTCTAGCGATGGAGCGGTGGCACTAAAATACGAGCCTCGCGAGACATTCTAAGCGTATACATTATAACACATACTTGAATGCACTTAATTGCTTTGCAGTGTTCCCCTGTCGGATGTCCGCAAAGGAAACATACTGCCGGTAGCGGATATTGATATAAGCTACTTGATGAACGGCTTCCCCCACTTTACAACAATGTATAACCCAAAGACACTGAATACGTATGGGGGAACGACGCAGACATTCATCACTTTACCGTCGTGCACATGGTGAGGTTTCGTGAGAAAAAATCCATGATGTGTCACAGTACGTAAACGTGGCTACATGCACGACAAACGCCATCAGTCTGTGTGTGTTCTAGAACAGTACTACCCCGGAAGGCGTGGAGCACTCTGGGTAACACACAGACGGAGATGTGTCGCATTTATGTGACGTTTTGAAGTAGCACGAGTCTATTGAATTGTTCAAGTCCTCATAATACAACGTAATCTGATTAGGTTGCAACTGGTATTGTAAACCAAATATGTTCGGTATTGTATGGGGCATAAAAAGGGATTACAATGCCACCACCAAAATTCCACCCAACACATATTCTTTACTACAACCCCCCCCCCCCGCACACACACCAGAATTTATGTTGGTCCAACCCTTACAAGGTTATTACGCGTCGATATCACAAACAAAATCCGGTCGATGGCACATTGCAAAGTAGAATGTCTGAACAATACGACAAATAAAGTACACTTTTAGTTATATGCACTACATGTTTGTTGAGACGTGAAATATTCTCGCAAGGTCGCTAATTAAATTCGAAAAAGTCATCAATTGTTGCTGGTTTGATTCAAAAAAGATATCATAGTCACCGGACAAAAACTTGCATCGACATCTGCTCCATTTAAAGTGGGGGAGTCGTTTCCTGCGCATGCGGGAAACGGCCAAAGCGTGTCGTTGTTTACAGACAAGCGTCACCCATGAGCCCACACCCATGAGCCTTTGCG